GGTTTTAAGTTTTGTAATATAACGTGAATATGGATCTATATCTAAGTTTGGTTTTCAGTCTATATAACATAAACCTAAGTGCGATTTTCAGTGCTGTAGTAGGCTCTAATGTTATATGAAACTCAAGCATGACATTACACGTGTTTTGATACGTTACACATTTGTTATTAAGATAAAACAATCTTACCTATAAGAGTTTCTGAATTTCGCGTAAAGTTACACAAGCGCCAATTGTACACAGCCATCGGCGTCCCTAATTTTAAACTAATAGACTAGAGGGAAGGCATCTAGTCAACAGCAAATACCATCGACTCTTGGACTACGCTTATCTGATTAAATAATAGACTAGAGGGAAGGCATCTAGTCAACAGCAAATACCATCGACTCTTGGACTACGCTTATCTGATTAAATAATAGACTAGAGGGAAGGCATCTAGTCAACAGTAAATACCATCGACTCTTGGACTACGCTTATCTGATTAAATAATAGACTAGAGGGAAGGCATCTAGTCAACAGCAAATACCATCGACTCTTGGACTACGCTTATCTGATTAAATAGAGAAAGTTAATCAACTCTATTATAGCGTCCCCCCGGTGGGAAAACGATTTGTCTACAGATTTAAAATGCTTAAATCCGGGAGTCGATTCCCTGCGGTGGGTGGACACAGCAGATAGCTTCACGTGGCTTTGCTATAAAACAGACAAAAGAAACTTTTTTATAGCGCTCCCAAAGCACCAAAATGCGAAGCAAGCTAGCATCAGGCCACGCCCAACCCTCTTAAAAGAAAGTTTTAACACACTGTGCTAACTTCTTCTGAAGGTAATTTTCTACTTTCTGTCCCAAAAATTAGCTAAGATAAAAGATCGCAGATACAATAATTTTCAAAATGAACATTCCAGGGTAAGAAATGTAAAGGATAAAAAAGAAAAAAATGCAGCGTTTATGTTTTACGTGTTAAAAAAAAAGTCATAGAGAACAACCCGAATCTTATTACCAAATGAAGCACGGTGTACTTGAAAATCGAATAAACTAAAAAAGTTCCCAATGCACCACTTCAAAGAAAACCTTTACACATTTCTTTCACGCCATCGAAAACCCGCACGATGAGACAATCAGATGATCTATACAAGTTCCATAACTTCAAGTTTTCATATTCAAATTGGATCCGTTTACTAACTGACTGCGGAACCTAGTCATGCTAATTCTTTCTTTATATATATCTAGAGGTGTTTCAAGATTATACCAACAAAACAAACCACCCAACACGATGCTCTCTTTGTCAGGCTCTTCACATTTGAATGCCGAAGTTATTTTTAACTGAGTTTTTAAAGATATGATTTGAAAAGGCAAAGATCTGTAAGGCTCCAGGGATTCTCCCTACTCGCTGAATATCTTTACTTCATCACCTTATACAACAGATGTTGAAAAAACCACACAAATTACCAGAGAATTGCTCTTAATTCTTGTCCAAAACTCACTAATAAAAATGTCACACTCCACCTTCATTACTGGAAGTGTCGGCGATAATTGGTAAAATATCCTGGACACTGTCACGTTTGGAAGGTGGTCTTATGAGTCGTTGGAGTATCGGGAACCATATCATTATAACGTCATGCATTCACAGCAACCCACGTTTGCATGACATAGGTAAGGACTGGCTACTATGGGTGGATCACTCTGAGTGGAATGCCGAATGCAAAAAGTGTACACACCTTACTTGAAACATGGCGGGGCTGAATGTATGAAAGGAGAAGACCATCTCTTTCAATGCTGACCAACACGTCATACTGTCCATCCTCAGATAGATGTTCTTATGCTACAGCTGCTATACATCTATTGTTAGTGACTGCAGCTATTCTTCAGACAACTATAGAAAATCCATAGCCACGGCAACTGCTTCAATTCTTTTCCACCACAACCTCTTTCGCGCTAACCTTCGCAATCTAGAATCTATTAGGGGGTTTGTTTCAAAAGTTTAGCTCAAAGCTAGACAAAGACGAACTGCGCCAGCCAGCCATGGTTTTGAACTGACAGACTAGAAGGAAGACAGTTAGTCAACAGCACCAACTCTTGGGCTACGATAATCGAACAGTGAGATTTGACAGTTACTCTTATAACGTATCCACGGCCCCAAAGTGCGCAATGCGATTTTACAAATAATGGCAAGAGGATGCGAACCACGAATTCCTGTATTTACAGTCTGGCGCGCTAATCACTAACCAGTAGGTCACGCCCAGCCACTGTTGGTGTGTCTTTATTTGTTTCACCACTTTCAGCATGTATTATGCAAGAGTAAAATCAACTTCTGTGTATTATATGGGGTAAACTGATAGCAGCTGCAGAAAGCGTTGACGATTCTTATATAATCTTCTAAACCTGGCATAGCCTGACGCTCGACTCACAATATGAAGGTCGCGGGTTCGAATCCGCATGCTCGCTCTTTCAGCCGTAAAAGCGTTATAATGTGAGCGAACAATCCCACTATTCGTTGGTAAAAGTGTAGCCCAACAGTTGGCGGTGGGTGATGTTGATTAGCTGCCTTCCCTTTAGTCTATCATTGCTAAATTAGGGACGGCTAGCGCAGATGGCCCTCGTGTAGCTATTCGCCAAATTCAAAACCAACCAAATCAATCAAAATGTAAGAGCTGTCGTCACTTGGTGGTGTTGCTAATTGTTTGTCTTACACAGCGCCATCTAGATTATTAAAGTTCTGGAGACCAGAGATTAACCAAGTAAATTCTGCTTTTAAATTATTCTTGGTTTTATATGTATATACCTCATGCTGTAAAATTAGATAAATCAGTTACAACTGCGGTAGTACCCAACTCTCGCTTAGGCTTGTAAATATTAAATACGTATAGCAAACCAACACTCAGATGCATGACTTTGATACCAAAAATCTCTTGACGAGCTACAGCTGACTCTACTTGACTTGCACATTTGTATGGCAGTAAAATCACTGGGTGGCTACTTCTTGGTGAATAGCTAATTTTGGACCTGAATCTTGACGTGTAACCTTGATGAATGTCACGAAATGCAGTCATGAAGCTCGTGAAGGGATTCTTAAAACATGATGACGAAATAAAACGAATCAAGAGGCTCGTGAAGGGAATCTTAAAACACGATGACGAAATAAAACGAATCAAGAGGCTCGTGAAGGGAATTTTAAAACATGATGACGAAATAAAACGAATCTAGAGGCTCGTAAAGGGAATCTTAAAACATGATGATGAAATAAAACGAATCAAGAGGCTCGTGAAGGGAATCTTAAAACGTGATGATGAAATAAAAAGAAAGTAGATGCAAGATTTACTTACAGAAACATTTACAGGCATTAATGAAGATCCCACTTCTCGTAGCGTCGTGTAGGTTCACGGAGAGGGCAGAAAGGCTGGGAATATTTCCCCAGTACCCACTTCCCACCAGCGGGCCCATGAGAGCGGCAAAAAAATGTGTAAGAAATGTATATTAACCGCGCCTTCAATCACATTGCGAGTAGTTGGGGGGGGGGGGGATAGTAATTTTCCCCCAGTGCCCATGATTGCTCTCGTGACCCTAGCGTCATGTTATTTGCTATTAATACAACAGTATAACTAATAATTACAGTATGGAATTAGGAATCTTAGGTTTGATTAGAATAATAATAACATACTATTGTGAATCACATTAGGGCTCTGTGAATGGTTACTTGAAAACTTAATGTTCTTCAAAACAGCGTTACAAAACAAAATTCTCCAACTGTAATTTTATTTATTTAAAGACGGTTGAGTACGTTTATATTAACCAGCAAGGCATGCAATACCACAGTCAATATCAGAACTTCATTTCAACATTGTTTGGTAGGGTGATGCCTCCAAAAAAAGTTGGGCGCTTTTGGGAAGGGTACTTGATAGCTCTTTCAGATGCAGAATATCCATACACTCAGATAAAAAAAAAGACGTATTCAAATCGGGGACTTAGACTGTCCAAGATGGGGATATTCCTTGTACTTCATGTTATTGGAAAACATATGAATATGGATTAACTTGGGGAACCAGGAACATCCAGAAAGATACCTGCAAAAAAGTCGTACCCTTGGCGTAGTAAGCGAAGAGCGGCGTCATGTAATAGGCGGGAATCCACGAACACAAAGGCCAGTGGTGAAAGTCGCTATGTTCCCATTCAACAGCATACTTCGTAATCAAGAAGGGTCTCCATCCAATCAGCCTTCATATACCTCAAGCAGCTGTAGAATCAAACAAATATTCAACGAAGACAAACCAATTAAATTGACAGATGCAGGACCTATAGATTTCTATACGATTAGATTATTAAAACAGGCTCTGAAAAACCTTTGGCTCTTACACTAGATGGATTATGGGAAACAGACATGGAGGAGTGGCGTACTTTGGGCATGAACCTTTTGCAATAGAAACTACGCTTCAGAGCTACTGTCAAGATCAGCAGTCATTAGAAAGAGCATGATCAGACGTGGCGACATGGACTGTAACAACGTGATGATGCTAAAAAATTGTTTTAATAAAACATAATTAACCTCTTCACTACAGTATTTTTTAAAACTATACAAGAATTGTTACTGCAAAAGACTTAGAGTCCTAATCGCAGATAAATAATAATAATAATTGCTCGAATCCCAAAACATGATATGGGGCAACGTAATTTAACAAAATAGTTCGGTCGGGAAATATCAATCGAAAAGTAGTGTCAGTTATTATTTCAACCTACAATCAGGCCGTCAGAGTATCATGTTCATGGATTTACGAATAAAGCAACGATCGATAGAGTGTGAGTGTATCGACTATAAATGAGGCCTAATTTTCCAACACCAGTATTTTTTGTTTGTTCATAAACATTATTGTTATCAAAATTACTTTATATATTTAAACCATTTCAGATATTTATTTAAGGTATACCAGAGTTATTACAACAGTACATGCTGAAAAAAAAAGTTTCTACGAAAGAAAACAAAATAACATTTTTAAGGATAACGACACTTACTTGAAAATGAGATTATCTTCGTGTCGACCGAAGAAAGGTGTTGAATACGATATCACCCAGGTATTACCACCTCCACAATCGAAGTAGGGAGAAGTCCACAGACCGTCTTTAAGCCTAATCACCAAATCATTGTCACCTCCTAGAAGACCACTATAATACTGAGAAAATTCAGGACCATATTTGTGCAACAGAAAGTGGGTAATATTTTGGTAAGCATGAGTCCAGAACCATTCGTTCCCCACTGATCCTTTCGTGTGGTAGGGTATACTATAACTTTTGGCTAAGTCCTTAGTAACCACGTGACCCTGTTGCCTAAATGCATAGGGGGCAAAGAGATTTGAAGGAGGTCTGTTGGGAGAAAGAAAGGAGCCATTTTGAAAAGCGATCGTGCTTCCTAGTATAACAGGATCACTTTCAACGTTGACTGTGACCAATGAGTAATACAAGGCCTCGTTATACAACACCCCTGTTTCGTTAGATGCCTTCAAGAACAGATTATTCAAAATGTTAGAAACCTTCACAACAGCATGGGCCTGCTTTGCATAAGGTGCGTAGGAATGATCTGATAGTGTGTACTTAAAATGGGTTTCTAGTGAAGTCCTTCTGCAGTCGTGGGACTCGCTCTGGTTCTGCGTCAGTTCTACATAGTGTAACACGGCAGACACGTAATCTTCCTTCTCGAGAAGCCGGCGGACGTCGTCGTGGAAGTGCACTGCGCTTGAATCTTCGTGTTTTGGGCGACTAATTCCATTTCTGTTTGTGCCATGCACTCTCGGTTGAGGTAACGTAGCCACAATGGTTGACTGAAGAGCGGAGTGTAGAATAACTGTGCTTGTTGACAGCAACAGCCAAGAGGTAATAAAGACACCAAGTTGACCCATACAGCTTTAATAAACAATACAACGATTGTATCTAGAATCTGTTACGTGCACGTCACAAGCTGGGGGTTATCATCGTGCTTCAGCATTAGTTTTAAAATCGCGTGCTTCATTACGCTCAAGTGTTCTATCCCCAGAAAGAAAAAATAAAAACAAAGGCATCCCCAGACCTAATGACAAAGAGAATCCTACAATAATCAGGAGTTAACTTTACTTCTGTAAATCACTTCATGGTATGGAACAAAAGTCACAGCCACTACCTTTTAAAGGATTAGGGAAGTATCTTGAGGCATGTACAAGAGGTATCCATGATTCAACAGCCAGCAAAGTACCAGCAAAACAGTCATTTGCTTAAGTAATCTGAGTCAAGGAATGACCAGAAAATGTTTTATGCTAGTAGTTCCAAGTCTTAATTTTTTTATACGTTCGGCCTTGCTTGTTTGCTATCGTAGTAGGACGTTCAGCCTTTCTACGATTTAGTTGCTAGGACTCTATTGTTACACAAGGCCTTGCTCTTTCGTGGTTACTATCGTTTTACTGGTACACGAGGGTTATGTGTTACGCCTTGCTCTTGCTTGGTAGCTATCGTCCTGTTACACAAGGGTTATATGTTAGGCCTTGTTTTTGCTTGTTTGCTGTCGTCCTGGTACACAACGGTTGTACGTTCAGCCTTACTCTTGCTTGGTTGCATTCGTCCTGTTACACAAAGATGTATTAGGCCTTGCTTTTGCTTGGTTGCTATCGTGCTACTGTTACAATTCACTAGAATAAAAAGAAAATCAAAGATCAGAAGCTCACTAATTATTTAGCAACATAATGTCGCAGAAGACAAACAGGTTAACAAAAACCTCATTGTTTCCAATTCATTTCTAGTCTTATTGTCAACGTGGCCAGAATTACTGCTCTAAGTCTAACGTTTGATTGAAAGCATTAATAGCCTTCCTTGTATCCTACTTTGGTGGTTTGACCTTCTGAAACTTTTAACATTCACAGTTTTATTTTATTTCCCTAAAAAGAAGTTGCTTATTAATAATATAATAAATTTCCAGTATGTTCAATGCAATGAGTTATTATTAGTTAATTCTTTCATTATTATGAATGTAAAGTTCCGCCTTTCATATTCCTGTGCCGTTTCGTTTGTATTGTTACGTATCTGCTTGTCTGTTAATTTCTGGTATAAATTCTATCCGAGGAACTTCAGCGATACAAGTCCCTTCTTGATTAACCCAGTTTATTCTTTCTTGATACAAACTTTTAGTACACAGTAATTCCACAGTCAGTACGTTTCTCGTCACTTTAAACTTAACAACTTTTACAATACACGCTATAAATCACAGCGATTCACAATCTCGATAACTTCGCTCTCTATGAGTGCAAAACACACACTTTATGTTCCCCCAATGGCTTTCGCTGCCAGGCTTATATAGTAAAGAAGAGGGCATCTCAAACAAGCTCGGGCTTCCCCGATAATTCGAGAAACTTCACGCAAGCTACCAGAGTCACGTGACTTCCGCTGTCATAACAGTATGTTTACTTTTGAGTGTAAAGTTACACAGTGAACTACCTGGTATGTGCCCACAACGGGAATCGAACACCTAATTTTTGCGATATAAGCCCTCAAGATGTTTTGCAGGTTGTAATTTGTCTATATTTTCCAAACTTACCAATTAATGCTGCAAAAGTTTTCCGAGTACAGTGTGTAAGCAAACTTGTTTCGAACTAAAAGTTATCTGTATATTTAGATTGCTTGTAGTCAAGCACAAAGCTATACAAAGAGCTAGCTGTGCCTAGCCCACCGCGGGTATCAAAACCCGATTTTTTCGCGCATAAGACCACGGACTTACCACTGTGTCGTCCCCGGTGAGACAGCGGTAAGTCTATGGACTTACAACGCTAATATCCGGGTTTCGATTCCTCACGATGGACACAACAGATAGCACAATATGGTTTTGTATAAAATAAATAAAATAATACCGCTGTGTCACGGGGGGAGGGAAGAACTATAATATACGTATATATGTAGACAACACCTCTTAAGTTCAGAAAACGTTTTTCTAAGTCCTTATACTGAAGATCTCTTACGTTTTATAGTTTTTTCTACGTTCAATAATTTATTCTTCATTATTTTTCATTAAGTAATCGTTATCATTTTTCGGGGCCGTCATATTATTTAAAGTTGGTAAAAATCTTACAACTCTTTCTGTAATGGTTTGGTTTGCTCTTCATGTCAGGGCTACTAAGTCTACCTGTCGCCGTCCTTAATTATAAACTACTGACTAGAGGGAAGGTAAACAGCTGAAGGCACCCACCGCCAGCTCTTAAGCTACACTTTACCAACGAATAGGGGGATTGACCATCACATTATAACTCCACGGCTGAAAGGGTAAGCACGTACGGTGACGGTTTTCGGTCACCTGCAGATTTCGAGGCGGGCGCCCTAACCACCACGACATGCCAGTCCACTCTTTACATAAGTCCAAGCAATTTTTCACTCTTAGGATTTAGGTATATCTGTCTGTTATGTTGAACTACTGACCACAGTGACTGTAGCCAGTAAGAAGCACCCGCCTCCACAAGGACGATGGGGTTTGATTTTCACTTTTATAATATGTCGACAACTGAAAGTCCAAAACGTATTCAGTGGTATCACGTCTCGAATCTAAGACTTTTCAATTTGCATAATGACACGCTAATCACAGGCCATGACTATCATCCCTTTTTGGTTCTAATGACTTTAGAACATCTGTATAAACGAGCAGGTCCGCCGACGGGGAGAGGGGAGGGGAAGAGAAGAGAAGAGGACCGGGCGAATGAAACCTGGTTTTTACGCAAATAGAGTGAGCTAAAAACGGATGCTGCTAGGATTTTGTCTGGTTTATGAGCTCGTTGTTCTCCTAATTTAGGATCTTCTTTTAAATAAGTTCTTAAAATGTTAAAAAGAGAGAGAGAGAGAGAGGAAAGGGGGGGGGCGTGCTGACTCTCGACGTTCCTGTAAACGAGTTTGTTTTAGTTGTTTACGTACGTTTGATCGTACTTTTCAACTGTACAGAACTTTCTACACTCGAGTTTATACTGTTGGGCTTATAATCGATGTGAACATGATACCACATAATTCTGATGTTGCTCAGAAACTTTTGTCATGAAATTCTGTAAACGTTTATGACTTCTGGAACAGATAAACAAATGTCAGATCTCAGTTTCAAGTCGTCATCCTTGCTATCCAACACTAAATATTTGTGGTTATTACAGAGATTTTTTTTTACAAACACAACAACCAACAACAAATCACAGCATCATCACCCTATTAACACGCCGCTTAAAAAATGGATAGGAGAAGCCCTGTTAAAAAGATGCGATCGAAGGGCATCATATTGTTTGCTATCTCTTGTTACTATGGTATCCACTTCAGGCTACGTAACTACAACAGAGAACTCATAGCTAGAGTATTCACCGATTACAAGTTTCCATGAATAATATAACCAACTGTTTTCAAAACAAACAAACAAGCTAAAAAAAACTGTTTTACAGGCTTAACATTCAGCTGCTATTTCATTTCAGTAAATTACAAGATTCTGGCTATTCGGTTTTAGATGTTCAAAAAAGTAATGGTTCAGACAAAAAATTTTCTAGACTGAAGCTAATTAGTTACACACAGTTTGATGTTAACATTTTTCCTGTAATGGATTGTTATCAAATATCGAAAAACCAAACAAAAAGCGCCCGCACATACATTTTGACTTAACATTTTCTGTCCATTTGATACAGAAAAATACTGCCACATTTTATGTTTCATATTTCTTCCATACGTATAAGCACGTGTAATGGAATCTCGTGATAAATAACGTCTGACAATTATAACGGCCACGTGAGAGTTTTTGAGATCTCATACTTTACCCTGAAGTAAACGAATCTGTCAAAAATATGACAGAACGAAAATACTTTTGAAATAAAAATACCTTAGGTTTTTATTACGAGATTCCCGAGGGTCTCAGCTTGGTTCTTTTTTTTCTTTTTACACCGTTTCGTTAATGCAGTAAATGCTGATGAGATCGTACACGCGCTTTACATAAAGGTTTAAAGTTAGGCCTATCATGCTGTACAATTTGCGATTCGAGACTTTGATTTATGACAATTAACTACGACGCGTATATAAACTCTCGCTCTCGGGTTTCCTTGTTGTTTATTTCAAACCACAAAGATTTATACTCGAAAAATCGTTATAGTAATCTGGTGAAGAGACACGAGCAATCATCAGACTGAAAAAAATATTCTTTAGCAATCCGACACTATAATTAATGTACCCTGATCTCAGACTCATTGATCCTCCACTGATTCGTTTGTTTTGTTTTACTTTTATATTTTTTTATGAAAAATAGAAGATTTGTTTGTTTGAGAATTTTCGCGCAAACTTACATAAAGGACTACAGTTCTTACCCTAACTCTTGGGCTACTTTTATCTTAATGAATATTGGGGTTTAACCGTCATTCTTATAAGAAATTCACTGTCCCAAAGTGCGGAGCGCGTTCTTGCGGTAATCGGCCGCCTACCATTAGCCCTCGGATTCACAGTCCGTGCACACTAATTAACTATTAAGCCACGCTTAGCCCACAAATAACAGTCGAGCTACTTCACACCGTAAGAGTTGTCGTTCATATAATTTGTTAATATAATTAAATAGTGTATCAACCACTACTGTGTTTGTTGTATCATAGCTGGGCTGATGAGCCGTATCGGCATCGGATGTGGCAGATATAGTGTGATTGACACATTGTTATACATTTTTCTTTACTTTCATCCATAAATGCCCCCAGTGGCTCAGCAGAAAGTCTGAGAGCTCGCACCGTCAAAAACGGGGCTTCGATACTCGCAGTGAGCGCAGCACAGATAGTCCATTGTGTTTAACAAATAACAAAATCATTCATAAGTTCTTACGATGAGCCCTGGCATTGCGCGAAAGGCCTTGTCGGCACTGGAAATACCAGAAATAGTGTGGCTGACGTTCTTCTTTATTTTCACTCAGAAGTTTTAGAATTTCTTTACTACGTAGTTAATCCTTATATTACGTATTATCCGTTAAGCGCCATCTCGATTTCTAATTTATAAATAAATATATAATATCAGTGTAGATAAATAATAATTGTATGCCCGATACTCTCTATGGCCGTACACGATACTCTCTAATTCAAACTATTCCAATAAAACCAGAAGTTCTTGTACCAAACGTTCAGAGACAGTGAACAAGAGTACAAAAAAAATCAAACCAGAAAAGTTATAGAGGTCAAAAAGGACCTAAAATGACCACTATATTTCAAGAAAAATATTGCATAAACGAAACCGGTATACAAGTTAGCTTATGATAATAGATGGAGCTGTTTATTTGCTTATAGTTAAGCACAAAGCTACAGAATGGGCTATCTGTGCTCTGCCCACCACGGGTATAGAAACCCAGTTTTTAGCGTTGTAATTCCGCAGACATACCGCTGTGCCACTAGGGGCATATGTTTTTTGTTAGTTTTTTGAATTTTGCGCAAAGCTACACGAGGGCTATCTGCGCTAGCCGGCCCTAATTTAGCAGTGTAAGACTAG